AATAGTGGGATTGACCATAACATTTTAATGTCCCCACGGCTGAAAGGGCGAGCATGTTTGGTGGGACGGGGATTCGAATCCGCGACCCGCAAATTGCGAGTCGAGCGCCACCTGGCCATGCCGGGCTAGGAGTTGTGAGAATATTTATTTAGATTCGTTCAGTTTTATTCAGTGAATATTTAGTTTTATTTGTGTGAATATTTTAGCTTTTTAGGTATATGAATATTTGTGGCTTTATAGTTTTGTGAATATAGATATAGTTTTAAAGTTGTGTGAATATAGTAATAGTTTTTCAATTGTTTACAATTTTATAGCTTGTTTATTTGAGAAAATATTTATCGTTTATACGTGTTTTGATGTTTAACACAGCTCATGGCAGTGAAAGAGTTAACAACAAACAAAGCCTCTTTCTGGGTTGCTTGTTTTACTGGAAATGTAAGCATTTTCTATTAATATCTAAAGTCGCTTTAAACTCTGTGAGAACAATGACTGTAGAAGGAGATTTGATCTTTTCCAGGGTTAATTTATTTTTAGAAATGATGTGGAAATTCGCAAAAAATAACAAGGGTGGATGATTTTAAGTTGGATGAAAGACAAACCACTTTGCTGAAAGAAACCATTTTTGTCCTCAAATTACCGACTTATTTTTTATACCATTCATTAACGGTGGGCTCAACATATTTAATTGTATTGAATAATTTTATGTTTTGTCGGTTAAAAACTCAGTATATGAAATTGATAAAATATTTTGAATGGAATTAGTGGGATTAATCAGGAGCGTCGAGAGCTAGCGCGGGCCCTGGGCAAACATCATTGTCGGGACCCCTTTCTCTCTTTTTTTGAACTTATTAAAACGAAGATTCTAAATTAAGACAACAACGAGCTCACATAAAAGGCAAGATCACAGCAGCAACCGTTTTTAGCTCACACTATAAGCGTAAAGTAACAACAAGTATCTGTTAAGTCTATGAAGTAACAAGAAGTATCTGTTAAGTCTATGAAGTAACAAGAAGTATCTGTTAAGTCTATGAAGTAACAAGAAGTATCTGTTAAGTCTATGAAGTAACAAGAAGTATCTGTTAAGTCTATGAAGTAACAAGAAGTATCTGTTAAGTCTATGAAGTAACAAGAAGTATCTGTTAAGTCTATGAAGTAACAAGAAGTATCTGTTAAGTCTATGAAGTAACAAGAAGTATCTGTTAAGTCTATGAAGTAACAACAAGTATCTGTTAAATCTATGAAGTAACAACAAGTATCTGTTAAATCTATGAAGTA